CTGGTATTGCCCGCCCCGGCCGGAGCCCCCCGGGGAAGTGGCGCGGGAGGGTCTCGGGTGAGGTGCGGGGTCACCCGCGTGTCACGCTACATGTGTGTCACAGGCATGTAGGGGATGACCGTGCACTGAGTGTGTGCTAAACACTTTGTGCCTCGTCATAGGGGTGCTTTGCTAACAAGGCGGCAATTAGATGGATAATTTTCAGCAGTGTGTCATCTTTATTATTATTATTATTATTTTATTTTTACACCCTTCTTGGGTTTGGTGTTGTTTTTTTCCCCTTAACCCCCTTGGAAGGAAAATACAGCCAAGCCCTTTCAAAGCCACCCACCTCCAACCCCCCGAAACCGCTCAGGCCCTACACAATGCATTTGGCTTTAACTGACTGAGGAAAAACCCAATTTGGGGAGAAACCAGCTGGAAATCATACCTGTGGCCCTGATGATGTGGCGAGCACCCTGCAGCCGCTCATTACTCTTAGGTGGTTGGCAAGGGTGACAGGGGGAAAGGTGAAGGCAGAAGTTTTGGGGGGTTTTGGTGCTTTGCAGGGAGCCGGGACAAGCCAGGCTGGGCGATGGTCCCATCAGTGAAGCGATAATCTCCTGTGTCAGGCACGCCGGGGTATTTTGGGCTCCGGCATCCTCTCTCCCCTCCTATCGCTTTACCCCGCGCGGGTACGTGCGTGTTGTGAGTCAGGGCATTGGCAGTGCCCGGCCACTCTGGGGGGCCCTGCCAGCCAGGCTGCCAACCTCCCCCCAGTGTTGGAGCGCTCATGATGCTGAGTGGAGAATTGGGGTTTGCCAGGCTGATGCGCCCCCCATGCACCCACTGGTGCTGGGACCTCTGTGGCCTCACAGCCCACACTCCTTGGGGATCGTTTCCCCCAAGGAAATGGGAAGAAGAGGGTCCCCAAAGCAGGTGAGGGATGAAGGCTTGCCAAGGTTGGTGGTGAAGCCAGGAGAGAAATGGGTATAGGGGCTGGGACCCTGATGACAGGGCAGGTGATGGGCACTGTGGCAGTGCCCCAGCACTTCCCCACCAGAGAGGATGAGCATGACTGTCCCACAGGGAGAAGGGGCTGGATTTGGCCTTGTTTGGGTGTTACAGGGTCACCCTGTCATGGGAAGAGGCTGCAGATGGCTGTGGGGTGAGCAGCTCCTCCTCAGAGCCGGGTGACACAGGGGGACATTGCCATCCCCAGGGACCTCGAGCACCCAGCTACCTCTGCACCGTGGGCATGTGGCTGGCACCACACTGGCTTTTCTGACAGGAACAACCCTTTGAAAGCAGTGGGTTTTCCCAGCCTCCTATAAATGGCACCCAGGTATTACAAGGAGCCTCGTCCTGCCCGAGGTGACTGCAACGTTGGGGTGCAGCTCAGAGTAGGGGGATGTTTCAACCGGGGCACTTTGGACAGTGAAACCCTCCAGCAGTCATCCCACATCTAAAATCCCTCTCCTGTAAAGCAGAATGCTCCAGCTCCATCAATAAAAGGGACTTGCATCCATTTGCCATAACATTCAGTGGCTGTTTATCATGATATCAGAAACAGCATCTCCTTTTAATCGCCATTTAATCCCCATCTTGCCACCACCAAGTGGGTTGGGAGGCAAGTCCCGGTGGCCCTGGCATTGTGCCGAAGGAAGGAGCCTTTTCCTGGCGGTGAGTGAGCAGGTCATGGCACTGAGGAGGTGGGGGTGGCAGCGGTAATCAGCTATAATTAATGTATTAAAAAGCAAGTAACCGCTCAGCTGCCATCAAACACACAGAGAGCACGAGGCTGGTGGCAGGTGAGCTTGGTGGTGAGACTGGATGCAGGCACGCAGCAGCCAGAAAGGGCATAAATAGGCAGTTTTGGGTTGTTAGTGTGGGGAAGATGTGTTAGTACCTCTTCTTCTGTCTGTGAGAGTGGAAAATGGAGGGCAAGAGGGGAGAAGGGGCAGCAAAGCCCTAAGCAGGGGTGCTGCTGGGATTTGCGTGACAAGAGCCATCCCGAGGCTCTTCGTGAGGTTGGAATCTCTCCATCCATCACTGAACTGGACGGATGCTTTCCAAAATACATCCCATCTCTAGGAGCTTCCCTGTCTCATTAAATCCTTGATGTCTGTGGCAAGGGGCTAGCAGCAGTGTTTACATCACCTTAAACGCCGTTGGTGGATGGGATATAAACAACCACCCTTGATTTTGGGAGTTTCCATCCACGGGGAATTTGCCGAGCAGCCAGACCATGCCCTGACCTTCTCAGCTATTTGTCCAAGGTGTTATTTGGGGTGGGGGTCAGGCCTGGAGCCGCGGCGGCCGAGGCCAGGCACCTGTGTATTGTGGTTGGGGCAGACACCTGAAGCGCAGGGGTGTTTGCTATTGCCACCGTCACGTGGCGACTTATGAAATGTTTTTTGGGAGGGAGGGAAGGAGAGAGGGAGGGAGGGAAGGTAATGATGGGGTGAGCCGATGGGGCCATGCCCCGCACTAGCCTGCAGCAGGCACGCGGCCCCCCTGTGCGATAACGCACGTCCGGATCCTGCTGCGGGTCTGGACACGCTACTGCAGTTCCCGCTGCTTCAGTTTTCCTTGCCTGTGAAATGGGAACGAGGGGCCCTGGGAAAACCTCCTCGTGGTCCCGGTCAGCCGCTCTCCTGACCGGGGTGGTAGGAGCAGGGGGTCATGGCGGTGCTGGTGCCACTTTGGGCTCCCCGTGCAGGTCATGGCAGGGTTTCCTGATGAACGCATGTGGCTGAGCCCTTTGGAGGTGACAGGCCATGAACCTCATGGTCTCATTCTTGGGCTTGGCAGATGGTGGCCTTGTGGTGACAGCATTCACACAGGGCTCTAGGCTGGTACAGCTGTACCTGTGGGCGAAGGATTTGGGGAAATACTGATCGCGCAAGGCTGTCACATCCTGGCAGCACAAATCCCGATGGAACCCATCCCCCCATCCTGTCCCAAACAGATGCGATGCTCCCGTGCCCCCAGCGTCCCCCATTATGCCGCCATGAGACAACAGCAGCACCGAGACACAGCGTGCCCACTGCCACCTCCAGCGGGGCACTGGGTGTGTCGCAGGCAGTGCTGGCTCTTTGCTCTCTAAAGCCGACCCGGAGCTCGCCCTCGGGCACTTTCCTGTGAGCCACAGGCACCGAGGTGGCTGCCGGGCTGCCCGGCGAGGTGTGAGTGATGGAGGAGGCTGCTCGATCCCCTTCCCCCTTTGCTGCCGGGGGATCGGGCCGGAGCCGCAGCGTGTGCTGGCACAGCTCCCCGGGCTGCGGGGGGTGGCCGGGGAGGGGACAGCGGGGCTGCGGCTAATTTTAGGAGGTTGGCAGAGCCTCATGGGAAGCAGCCGGCTGGAGGGAGGTGTCGCACTCGCCCCGAGAGTGAGCACCGGGTGACCCCGGCTCTGGAGATGCTGCCGTGGGGCTGGCAGCCCGCTCCTGCGCTCTGAGGAAGAGCCGTGCCCCCGCGGATGCCCCGGTTGCTGGAGGGGCGGTGGGTCCGGGGAGACGCAAGGGGCAAAGCCCTGGATTCCCGGTTGGCATTATCCAGGAGGCGGCTGAGCCCCGCGCTGCTCCGTGTCTCAGTTTCGCCGTGACCGTCTCGGCAGCGCTCCCCTGGCGGAGTGCGGTGCAGGCAGGAAGGCTGGCCGGGCTCGGGGATCCTCGTCTGTGAGCGCCAAGCCTTATTATTTCCCCACAACTGTCTCCTCCTCGCTCCTCGTAAAATTAGATCCAGCTGTTCACAATAGCCACTAACTTCTCTCCGGAAGATGTTCAAAGTTTACAGACGCGGGTGCGTGGAGGATGGGCTGCCGTTCCCATGCCAGCTCCTCGCCGCCCGCCCTTCCCCCAGAGGCAGCCAGTCCTGCCTCCCCACCGCCGGCTTAGGCAATTCGGGTTTAGGAAGAAGCACACCCGCACGCAGGCATGCGAACTCCCGACCCAACCGAACGTCGGGTTTTTATTAGCAGGAAGATCTGGGCACTTCAGAGAGAAGGTCTGGTCCAAGACCCTGCTTTTCCCTGCCCAGCTTTGTGCGCACACACTTGGTGGATGGGTTGGGCAGGGTTCTGCTTTTCGTGTTTGCCAGCACCTGTGCCTAGCTATGGCTTGAGTTTGGGCTCCAGCTCTTGAATGGGGTGGCTGCCGTGTCCCCTCGCAGCCTTGCCTGGGTGGCACTGCAGAATTGTCGGGGTCCAGCTGCGGTGTTTGGACATCAGTGTGCTGGGCAGGGGTCTAACACACTGTGCTGGGCTCTCTGGTGCTCTTGGGCTCCTTGCTGGAGCTCCTTCTTTTACCAAGAATACTGCCTTCATGTATTTTTAGCAATTTTCCTCCCCAAAGATTCCAGAGCAATTTTTCAATCTGCGGGAGCTGGAGTCGCTGTGCCCGTCTCCAGCTCTCGGCTCGGGCAGTGGCGAGAGATGCTGAGAGAAGGCGATGAGCTGCCACGGGATGCCAGCACACTCCTGGCACGCACATGGATTTGCTCGCTGGGACTGTCTGGGGTGGTGGCAGTAAAATGGTGTTAAATCAAAATATCCCTTTCTGGGAAGAAATCTGATGAGGTTTGTGCAGGGCAGCCTGTACCTGCTATCGCAGCTCCTGCAGGACCTCAGCTGGGCACTGCTTCGAGCCTGAGCTCTTTGCAAGAGGGCAGGATGCGTGCCCCCCTCACAGAGGTCACAGTGGCCAGGTGACAGTGCTGCGTCACATTCTGTGCCAGACTCTAGCAGCCAGAAACATCTCCGTGGCTGGGGTGGTAATGCCTGACAGCCTCTCTGCTCAGTGTCCTGGGGGCCGATGCCCCCTGTCAGTTCTCACACCCCCATCCCATGGGGCTTCTCTGGCTGGGAGCTGTGAGTGCGGCAGTCAGAGCTAACCCCGGGCTCCAGCAGGTGCCATGGCACGGGCAGTGGGTACAGCTGCTGCCTGGGCAGGCTTGGGTTTCACGGGGGTGGAGGCGTCTGGGGGCAGGTGTGAAATTCATTGCAGCCTTCCTCCTCCTCTTCCTCCTTGCCTGGTATGGTCCCCCGGGAGATGCTTTCCCTGGCCCTGCTGCAATGGCATAAAAAATGGGGTCAGCGGCACCTGGAGCTCTTCTGTGGGAGCATTTCTCCTCCTAGGAGCAGGACAGAGGGCTGGTGGGATGCCTGGCTGGCCCCAATGGTAGGACTCTGTCCCACTGCTGGCACAGAACTGCCTGACCCAGGCTGCCCTGACACCGGAGACCCTTGGCTTCCCCTTGGGACAAGCCGGGAGGACTTGGGACTTGTTGGCCACTCTGAGCTAATCTACAGGGGATGTTGAGGAGAAGACATCCTGGGATGGATATATTTTGGCAAATTCAGTGGTCCCCAGTGGGTGCTGTGTCCATCATTGGCTGTGCCACGGGCCAGCAGCACTGGGGGTGTCACGGGGCAGGTATGGGGGTGGCCCATCCCCAGCAGGCAACTCCAACCCTGTTGTTTCCATCCAGCTCGTTTCATAACACAGAGAGCAATTAATGCTCTAAAAGCTTTCTATTTATGCGCTGCTGGGTGAAACGCCCCGTCCTGGCTGGGCAGGGCAGTGTAATTGGGCCAGGGAGGCACGCCGGGTTACAGTGTCCATCTGTCCTCTGCCCTCGGGTCCTGAGCCTGAAGACTTGAGCAAAACCGGCTCAGGTCCTCCAGAAGCCGAAACCCGGCTGTGCCACTCTGGCAGGATTGGAGAAGAGGAGGGGATGGAGGGGTTGGTTTGGATGCCTGTGATTCTGCCATTAGGAGGGAGGTGTGCCCTGGGTTTGCCTCATCCCCTTCCTCCTCTCTGCCCCAAATATTCTGGGAGCAAATTGCTCACATTTTCTCTTTGTTCATCCACAGCCCCCTGGGATGAGGGCTCTGAGCATCCCTCAACCTCGCGTGGCTGAGCGAGGACCAGACACATCCCTGCCAGCTGGAGGCTCAGGGCTTTGCTGGGAGCTAGGGGACCCTTTGGCTGTTGGGGTCCAGCTGGAGCTAGGGGGTATGGGGAGCCTGGGGCAGCCCTGGCAGTTCTTCAGACCCTGGTGGGATGCTGCCACGTGGCTTCCTGCGGTTTCCTCACTCCGATTGCTTCCTGAGCTGCCCGCCAAGCCGGAAGGGACAGGAAGTGATAGAGGGGAGGAAATTAGTTGGGCTGTCTCACAGGGAGCTGGCCTGGTGCACAGGGGGCTCTGCCACTGTCTGTGTCCCCAGACTGTGCCAGGGGAACTTTCAGAGAGTACATGGCCAGTCAAGAGGTGCAAACTTGGGTGGGAGAGAGCAGGGTAGCCACCCTTCCCTCCAGGAGCCAGGGAGTCCCTCAGCGAAGCCTCAGCTGTTTGGAAGAGGAGCGCGATGTAAACAAACCTTTCACCGCCCTCCTGCCACTCCGCGTCTTGCTTAGCTGCTGCCACCCGCCTCGGTGAGCTCTGGCTGTCCCTGGGACAGCCCTGTGCCAGCCAGGATGGTGTTTCCCTGTGGGAATGGGGCACAGTGTTCTCAAAGGGTCCCTGGGCAAGGTGCCAGGGATGTGGAGCTCCTGTGAAGAGCTGCAGGGTCATCCTTGGCAGAGCCAAGAGCATCCTGCTCTATGCACTGCAGTGGACATGGCAACATCTTTGATGTGTTCTGGTCTTGCTGGTGTCCCCCAGGAGCTCCACAGCTTTTGGGTTTCCTTTGAGGGGCTCTGCAGAGCTGGTGGCCGTGTGACTGTGTGGGCAGCATTCCTCCCAGCTGTGTCACCAGGTGGGGAGGGGCAGGAGCAGGGACACGGCCCCCAGCCAGCCTTCCCCTGCCTGAAATGAGAGGCACGTTAGTGAAAGCTGCTGCCTGCCTCCAAATCACTGCCAGTATCAGAGCCCCAGCAGTGCTCTCCCTGAGCCTCAATGTGGCAGGACATGCTGGGTACCTTAGAGTCTCACCTTTGAGGTCTCACAGAGCAGTCCCTGGCAGGCGAGGACTCATGTCCCACTCACCCCGGAGTGTGGGTGCCATCAGTCACGGTGACAGGGAGGGGGTGATAGCAGCCTCACGTTCCCCCACAGGGCTGGCGCAGACGGCACTGAGCTGCTGCAAGGCTGAGCTGCTCTGTGCTGATCCTGCCCAGGCTTGTCATGAACTTTTATCCTTTTGCCGTGAGGTCTGAGTGCAGGGGGGAGGGAGAAGGGTGGATTGTCCTGGGTCCCCTGCATGGGAAGGTAGGATGGAGCCAGTTGGAACCCCCTCCCTGTCTGTGCAGGGTTCTTTGCCTCTGCAGTGTCCCCAGCACCTTTGCAGTCTTTTTGTCCCAATGTCCCCTGCCACGGGCTGGGGGAAGCCCAGGTAAGAAGGGGTCCTTGGGACTGCTCTGCCCCACACCTTGTCCCTCTGGATGGTGCCAGCTGGGGATGTGCTGTGCTGCAATCCCCCTTGTGAAGCAAGTGCTGGTGGCCATGCCCTCCAGTCCAGGTGGTTTGAGGAGATGCTGTGACAACAGCCAGCATCCCTGTCCCAGTTTGGATGGGACACAAGGGTTTGGGGCAGTGCAAGGGCTGCTGGGGCTGTGCCTCATGGTGCACCAGATAGGATGATGCTTTTGGGGCTGACTGTGCTGGGGAAGAGGAATATGATGTCAAGGATGAAGACTGGGTGCATGGGGGCACTGAAGGGGGTGACAGGCACCTCTGCCCATGTCACAATGTCCCTGTCTCCCAGCCCCAGGTGTTCTCCCCTGTGCCACCCTGCATGTCCCTGACCCGATCCCTATTGCAGCTGGTTGTGCAGGATACAGCAGCACCTTGCTCCTGCCTTTTGACACTCACAGTGTGCCCATGGTGCTTCTCTGACTGCAGACACTGCTTCCAAAATATTTCCTTCCCTCACCTCACCTCACAAAACACCCTTCTCTCAGGTGCCCTTCCCTCTTTGCTTTCACAGGGTTTAAGGAGGTTTCCCGTGGCTTTCTCAGGGTGCCAGCCCCAAGCAGCTCTCCCAGCAGCTGCCTGCAGCCCCAGGTTTCCTCACGTCCCCCACAGGTGGTGCTGGGCTCTGGGAGCCGTGGGAACACCGCCCCGGTCTCCTGGGCAGCCTTGACCTCGCAGGGAGATAAGGGCTGCCCTGGAGGCATCCTCCCCTGCCTGCTGCGGACACCGCGCCCGCTGGGGGACCTCACAAGGGTGCAGCCCTCTCCATCACCCTCTAAAGCTGTGGGTTGGAGTGTGTGGCCCCCAGAGAATCAGGGTCTGAGGGGCGAGTGAGCTGGAAGTGGGGACGGCCTGCTGGCGTGGGTGTCAGTGGCCATCCCTGCTCATGCTGAGCATCCTCAGAGCAGGCAAGCATCCCCTGGGGATGTGGGTCAGTGGTCCTGGGATCACCAAATCCTGCAGAGGTGCCTGTGCTGTGGCAGGGGTGGTCTTCCTGCCCTGATCCCTGGGGAGCTGCTGGGAGGCAGAAACCGGTGACATTTTCTGGCGGGTCCGGTCCCCTTCCCTGCCCTGAGCAGGTCTGGCCACGGTCTCCGCAGGCAGTCCAGCCGTGCCGGTTCCCTAATTGCTGCTGTTGTTGGTGTTTTGTAAGGGCAGGGTGGAGCGGCACTCAGCCGTGCCTTGCGTCAGCGCGGTGCATGCACCCTCCCTCCAGGAAATCCAATGTCTTGCCTGGCCAAAAGCAGGTTCGGTGGAGGAGGAGAAGGAGGAGAAGGAGGAGGAGCTGCTTCCTCGCACCTTGGCCGGGGCCCCAGCATCACCCTCCCTCCTCTCCCAGCTTCCCTGAAAAGGCTGGGCTGGGATTGCCGTGCCAGAGGGGGAGTGGGGTGGGAGGGGGCTGGGGACCTCCAAGGAAGGGGACACGTGTGTCACAGGCAGGCTGTGGGGTCAGCTGTCACCCTGCCTGTGCAGGCAGTGCCTGGAACTGTGACCCAGGGCACTGGGCACGCTGCCTGCAGTGGTGCAGCCAGACCCGTGGTTTACCTCTCAGCCCTATAGCTTTTCCCTTGGCCCCCAAAACACCCATCAATTGGGGCAGGCAAGGTGTCTGGTGAGTCCCTGCAAAGTCTGGCACCAGCTCTTGGGGCTTTCCCCTGTTAGGGTGAGCTGATGGCAGCCCTGTGGTGCTGCTGGGTCCTGGGCTGGCACCAGGCTGCAGGGTTCCTGATACCTCCTGATACCCCTGAGGTATCTTGGGACTGGGGGCTCCTGAGCTGTCACAGTGCTGAGGGGTCTGGGGCTGCCATGGAGCTGCTGTGGGCCTTTGGGGGCTGCAGGGTCTTGGGCTGCTGCAGAAGCTGAGGAGTCTCAGGTTCCCCTATGTCTGGGGGTCGTGGTCTGCCAGGGGGTCCTGGGCTGCTGTGAAGCATCCAGGGTTCAGCACCAAGGCAGTTGCACCCCAGTGTAGGCATCCCACTGAGACAGAGCCCTGATGCGCCTGCAGCAGGGAGCGAGGGTCCCACTGGGCCTATCCCCATGTGCCACCCTCTCCATCCTGTGCAGTGCCTGTCCCGCTGTTCCCCTGCCCTCCCATCCTCAATACCCTGCTGGGTTTGGACCCTGCATCCCTGCCAGGGGCTGCCCCAAGGAGCCCCCAGCAGCAGGCAGAGCCAGGGTGCCGCCATCCCTCCCTTGGCCGGCTGGCTTGATCCTACAATCCAGTTCTCCTTATTTGGCCACAGTGCTCAGCAAGAGGGGGAGCAGCGGCGGGGGGGACGCGGGCAGGGACGGGTGGCGGGACTGGAGGGGCTGACATCACATCACGATGAGGGAGAAAAGGATGGGGGGGGTAAGTTTCTTTTTTTATAAAAGGAAAAAAAAAAAAAAAAGGCAGCAAGGCCTCGCAGCACACTTGAGCCAGCAGGCTCAGCAGTTCCTTTAAAAGGAGATGTCTGTGCCGGAGACCTTTGTACACTCCCAGCCCATCCGGGAAGTGCGGCGGCGCAGGAGACACCTCTCCGTTCCCACCGCTGGCAGCTGCTGCCAAACATGTTATTGCAAAACACTGAAACGCTGCACTGGGAGCTCAGCAAGAGGAGGAGGAAGAGGAGGAGGATTGAAGGCTCCCCAGCATCACCCACCAGCTGGGGAGGGCCCAGGGCCCCAGCTGAGCATCTTCAGGGCAAGGGGGCCACTCCTGGTGCCAGGGGAAGGGCTGGTGGATGGCTCTGGCCACCTGGTTCCCATTAGTGGGGTCTGGCTTGGAGCTGCTCAGCATCTCCCTTCAAATCCCAGCTCTCGCCTTGGTAGGCATGGTGGAGCTGAGATTTTAGGGCCTAGGGGTGTTTTTTGAGCCAGCTTGCCCAAAGAGACTGCTGTTTGGCAGTGGGTGCTGGTGCAGGGTCAGGGTTCACAGGCTGTGGGGCTGCTGCCACCGTGTCCTGAGGTGTCAGCCATAAACACCACGTGCCCAAGTTCCTTGTATGGGTAATACAGTAGCTGGGGACAGTTTCCTTCCCAAACTTTATTTGGGTGGATCCTGGGTGGTCACTTGTGACTTGGATTTGGAGGTACTCATAGAAATCATGCTCTGTCCCCAAGGAAAGCCTTTTGTGTGTCCGGTGCCCTACAATGAGCTGCTGCTCTGGGTGCGAGGGAGAACAGGGCAAGGGCCAGGAACAGACCTGGCACCCCATGCCCCAGCAAGGGTTTCTGGGTCTGACAGGTGTCCCCTGTGTCCCAGCAGGTTGTCGTGTATCCGTGGGGGCTCAGGGTCGGAGCCCAGAGCAGCCAGCACCATAGCGTCCAACAGCTGGAACGCCAGCGGCAGCCCTGGGGAGGGGCGGGAAGATGGCCAGGACGGCATGGACAAGAGTCTGGACAATGATGCCGAGGGTGTGTGGAGTCCAGACATCGAGCAGAGCTTCCAGGAGGCGCTGGCGATCTACCCACCCTGCGGCCGAAGGAAAATCATCCTCTCAGATGAGGGCAAGATGTACGGTGAGTGACGGGGGCAGGTTGGAGGCACCGGGCAGAGGCACCAGGACAGCGTGGCTGAACTGAAACCTCCTGCCCCAAACCCATGCTGGGGCATCGCCCTCGAACATACCCCAACCCTGAAAGCAGCTGGCTCGGATTCATCGCGGAGCTGGACTGGGGAGGTGGCAGTGACCTGTGTCCCCTCCCTCTGCTCTCCCTCCCTCTCTCGGCCCTGCCAGACTGACTGGTTTGGTGAAGCCTCAGGCAGGGAGCGGGTGCGGGACTGCGGGGCCAGGGCAGCCACAGCCCTCCTGCTCCGTGTGCCTCTGCGCTATTCCCCAGACCTTCCCCAACGGGACCTGGTGGCCAGAACACCCTGTGGCAAGGGTCACTCACCCACCCTGAGCCACCTGCACCCAGCTCCCTTTTTGGTGACCTCATTGGTGGCAGCGGAGCTGGTCAGCTCCACTGGGGTGATGATTTTGAAGGTGTCAGCCTTGTTTTTGGTGTGTCCCAAAACTCCCTATCCCTGCCAGGGTAGAGACTGGTTCCTCCTCCCCTGCACATCCCCTGATGTCACCCCTAAGGGCCAATGACCTCAAAGTCAAGAACAGGCAGCCATATTACCAGCACTCTGTGGTGACAACAGGCCCAGGGCTGGCATCTCTGTCCCAGCTTCCAAAATACACCTGCCCAGGACGCTGCTGTCACAGCAAAGGCTCCCCCAGTGCCAGTAGAGAGGGGCAAAAGGGATGAGACTTATTGGAAAGCACTATGCCACTGTCCCCATACCCATGCCAGCTACCTGTGCCACCCCATTTGCCAGGGCCCCCAACCCACGGCATCAGGGCTGGTGGAGGAGTGGGATGAAGGGGAGGCAGGGGAGCATAGGGCTTCCCAAGTGTATGCATTTTTTGGATTTCTCCGGGAATAGCTGAAGTGCCGCCGGGAGCCTGGCCCTTCCAAGCACGCCCCAACCGGTTTTTCCAGCCTTTCAGAGACATCTGGCAGCTGCTTAAAGAGGCAGCAGCCTCTGCTGGCCTTTCATCTCCCCCCACCTTCCCCAGCACCTCCCCACTGGGACCCCCAGGACCCCTGGCTGGCATTGCTGAGTGTACCAGGGGCACTGGCAGCACAGGCGATACCAGCATGCAGCATAGTGGTGTGCCAATGCCTCTGCTTGCCTTCCCCACCCCTGTTTTTGGGGGTTCCATGGGTGCCCACGGCCGTGCCAGCCGCTGCCACACCGGTGCCAGCACTGCAGGGGTGGCAAAGCAAGGTGGGAGCTGGAGAGCCAGGACCCAGCACAGGCACACTGGGCCTTGCTACACTCCAGCTGCCGCACGGGTTATTTTTAACCCAGCCTGTCCAACTGGTTCACGTGGTGGTGTCAGGGGAGAGGAATTTGGGGAATGTGGTAATTTGGAGGAGGACGTGCCCTCTCGGAGGGAATGGCAAGGTCCAGATGAATCACAGGGAAAGGGACATGGGACAGGGCACGTGGGCACAGGGAGGGCTGTGAGGGTGCAGCCTTGGGCACGGTGTGAGGCAGGATGGGTGCTGGAGATGCTGGGCACTAGGGCTGGTACTGGGTCACCCAGTCCAGGAAGGCACTCACATTTCTTCCCTGTATTTTTCCCCCGTATTTCTTTCCCACGGGGCAGGGTATGGGGGGCAGAGGATGGGATTGAAGAGCAGGGCGTGCAAAGGGGGATTTTGAAGGTGTTCCCTCAACCTGGGGCTCAGCAGCAGGGTCCCTCTTGCCAGCACCCTGCTGCAGGTGCTATCTCACCTGGGCTTAAAGGACACCCTGGTAGGTGCTAATGAGGCAGCCAGCACGGGCAGCAGGCAGGAGGGATGGCAACTGTGCCTCAGGGTGCCACCAGGGGCACCCCCATTGTCACCCACCCACCAGCTCCTGCCTGGTACCGGCATCCCAAGGGGCAGCTGTCTCTGCGTGCCACCTGGCCCTGTCTGTCCCCATATGTGTGTACCCCAGGAGGGCCCAGTTGCTGTGGGGCTGGGAGGGGGCCAACCGGAGTGG